GTGTGTGTGTGTGTGTGTAGAGCGAGGACTGGATCAGCTGGCATGGTATTTTAGACACACCAAGGGGAAGTGTGTGTGTGTGTGTGTAGAGCGAGGACTGGATCAGCTGGCACGGTATTTTAGATATTATTTTAGAATGGCTTCCTGAGTCCAGCAGGCCGGCCTCTGAGTTCCACTTCTGTATATGCCCATTGAAGACATGCAGAGATCTGCTCCACCACTCAGGTGCCCAGTCTTTGGGAACTCTTTCTCCTCCTGCAGTGTTTGGGGTGGGTTGGTTGGTTTTGTGTTTTTAAAAGCCGTGGTAAGTAAGTAAGTAAAAGACGAGGCTTTCTACTCCTGTAGAGTTACAGTCTCGGAAACCCACGTGGACAGTTCTACTGGGTCCTGGAGGGTGAGACTGAGTTGGATTGGACTCAGTGGCAGTGAGTTGAGTGAGTATGTGGCGCCCCGGTGGCATCGTGTTTATGAGTTGGGCTGCCACCCACAAAGTCAGCAGATTGAAACCACCAGTCATTCCACAGGAGAAAGATTAGGCGCCTACTCTGGTACAAAGAGCTACAGTCTTGGAAATCCACAGGGGCTTAATTTAATATTGTGTATATATATATATATATATATATGGTTAAAGAGAATCTGCAGCTTAGCAACAAAAAGACAGACAACCCAATAAAAAACGAGACAAAAGACTTCCACAGGTATTTCACAGAAGGGATTCTTTACATGGTGGAAGGGTACTTACTCCATGTTCCTGCTAGCCTTCAGAAAGATGCAAATCAAAACCACAATGCCCTCCCCACTAAGATGGTTAAGATAAGGGAAATATACCCAAAACTGCTGGAGAACTTCAGAGCAATTCATTAGGCTGCTTCTTCAGCAACAGGGAAGTTTGGTCAGATACCAATACATAACCTGTCACCTAGCCAACCTGTCTCACAGCTCCCCTCTCCGAATTTACTCTAAGGAAATAAGTGGAAGAGAAAAACAAGAGCTGTGTGCAGGGATGTGTTCGACAGCATTCCTTTTAAGAAGGGGAAAGTAGCTTTAACCCACATGTCCACCACTTAGGGGATGCTAAAGTACATCATGGCAGCCCAACCCAGCAAAACTGTCCAGACAACTAGAACCAAGTCACTGCCATGGGGTTGATCCCAATGCAGAGACCTTCAAGGGCAGAGTAGACCGACCCCTGTGGGCCTCTAAGACTGTAGATATCTCCTATTTTAATCACTTAATTGGGGCCTCTTACATCTCTGATAACAATGGATCCATCCATCCATTGTGTCGAGGACATTTGTACATATGTTGCCATCATCATTTTCAAAACATTTTCTTTCTACTTGAGCCCTTGGTATCACCTCATTCCCCCCTCCACCTTCCTCCCTCATGAACCCTTGATAATTTATAAATTATTATTATTTTCATGTCTTACACCAACCGCTGTCTCCCTTCACCCACTTTTCTGTTGACCGTCCCTGGGAGGGAGTTATATGTAGATCATTGTGATCGGTTCCCCCTTTCTCCCACCACCTGCCCCTTCCCCTCCTGGAATGGCTACTCTCAATATTGGTCCTGAGGGGTTCATCTGTCCTGGATTCCCTGTTTTCAGCTCTTACCTATACCCATGTACATGCTGTGGTCTAGACAGATTTGTAAGGTAGAATTGGGGTCATGATGGGAGGGGGGCATTAAAGAACTAGAGGAAAGTTGTATGTATCATCAGTGCTATACTGCACCCTGTCTGGCTCATCTCTTCCTGTGACCCTTCTGTAAGGGGATGTCCAATTGTCTATATAGATGGGCTTTAGGTCTTCACTCCACACTCCCCCTCATTCCCATCGATATGATTTTTTTGCTCTCAGTCTTTGATGCCTGATATCTGATCCCATCAGCACCTCATGATCACACAGGCTGGTGTGCTTCTTCCATGTGGGCTTTGTTGCTTCTCAGCTAGATAGCCACAAGTTTAGCTTCAAGCCTTTTTAAGACCCTAGGCGCTATATCTTTTGATAGCCTGGCATCATCAGCTTTTCTGACCACATTTGCTTAGGCACCCATTTTGAGACTGTAAACCTCTACAGGAATAATCAGTTTCCTCTTTCTCCAGTGGAGTGACTAGTGACTTTGAACTGTTGGCCTTGTGTTTAGCAGCTCAGTGTGTAGCCCACTGCACCACCAGGGCTCCTCAGCAAGCTCTTTTGACCTAAACCAAACTCCAGGCTGTTGTTTAGTTGATGCTGACTCATAGTGACCCTACGGGGCAAAGCAGAAGGGGCCCTGTGAGTTTCCAAGACTGTGACTCTTTACAGGGAAAGCCTCATCTTCTCCCTTGGAGTGGCTGGTAGTTTCAAACTGCTGGCCTTGCAGTTGGCAGCTCAGCTTATAACCACATATATACCATAGGGCCCCTTACTGCTAGGCCTTCGTTCCAAAGGATAAGCGTGTTCTGTGGTTGAGGGTTTGATGGCAAACAGACTCAAATCTGAGTCTTGGTCCTTACGAGAGGTACAGCTTTCAGCTTGTTTCTTAAAGTCGGTAAGCTCAACCTCCGGATGATGGGATAATGATAGGATATATCCAGTAGGGTTGCCATCTAGAATAAATGAGAAACAACGACGACGACAACAAGTCAAGCTGTGTAGCTAATGCAATGACAGCAGCAGCCCGACTCAGTGGCTTTTAAATAACATCTTCCCCCTCCCAAATATGGATGCATGATTCACATATCACAGAACTGAATAGCTCAGTCGTTCCAACGTATCAAGGGGGAATTGAACAATCACCACCACATCCATCCTACTGCACTCCCTCCCCCATGGTTGATCCACACCACCATGAGCTGCTCAATCACAATCAGCTCCAGTGCTCCCTTCTTCCTGCCTTCATTATTTACTCCCCAACTCCCCTTCCAGTCCCCCCACTTACATTTCCTGTAACATGCCTCATCAGTCATTATCAGTGGATCAGTATACATCGCACTAATGTTAAGGATGCGATCATGTTAGTAGAAAGGCAACTAGCATCTTCATATGGAGGATCCCAACTTTACACAGCCACTTTGGGCCCTTCTCTTAACTCTAGGGTACCTAATTACGTACTCAGCATGTAATTGGCATTTGGACATCTAAGTGGCAATTCCACACCAAGAAACTTAGGCAGTCAAGCTCCCAAGCTTTCTCCTCCAACCAAAATCGCAACGCCTTCACGCCCGTTCCGACTCACGGCGGCCCTACAGGCCAAGGCAGAACCGCCCCTGTGGGTTCCCTAGACAGTCATTCTTTGGGGGAATAGAAAGCTTCCTTTTTCTCCCGCGAAGTAGCGAGCTTATGCTTTTGAGCTGCAGGCCTTGCAGTTAGCAGCCCAGTGCATTCCGATGAAGCCACCAGGACTCCTGTGGTCCTCCGCATTTTCCAGCTCTCAGACCAAACCCCATTCAGCAACGACCCATGACCCTGTCCTCAACCCTTTCCTTTCTCTCGTACTCCACACCGATCCATCGGCAGATCCTCAGACTCCACCACCAGGATATAGCTGGGCTCTGACCCCTCCAAGCACCTCCACTGGCGACCGGCCCAAGTGCCTTTGCTGCTCAGCCAGATTATAGAACTGGTGTCCTTGCGTCCATGTGTTTTTTGTTCTTCAGCCATTTAACTCTTACTGTACACCATGCAGCTGCAAAAACCCCACCAGAGGCTTCTTGACTCACAAGAATAGGCAACACCCTTACAGTGCCCTTCGAGGCCCAATTATCTGGGCACCCTTTACTTTCCTGCCGCTAGCCCTCCCATTGCTCCCTCCACCCCACTCACTCTGGCTGCCTTTCTCTCTTCAGACACACCGGCACCTTCCCACCTGTTTTTCCTCCTGCCTGCAGTGTGCTTCAAATCTCAGCTGAAACCAGACGTTCTGAGTGAGGCCTGCCCCTCACTGCTCTTTGAAATTGTGTGCATACGTGCACACACTTAAATACTCATACGCACACTCAGACGCATGCAGAAGCACACGCAAATAACATAAACATTGTGGTGGTTATGCAATCTGGTGTCAGCTTGAAAAGGGGTGGAGTCTAGCCTGTCAATCAGTTAGCAGCTTACAACCCCATTGGGAGCCTCCTTGGAGATAAATAGCTCCCTGAAGGTGGGACACACATACTCTTGGTGAGACAGTCCTGTTGGCAAGACCCATGGAGCTACCCTGATGGAGCCAGAGCTCGAGCTGGAGGAGCCACGTGGAGACCCACGCCAGCGCCGAGATGAGGTGCCTCTTCCACTGCCACTGGATCCACAAGACTTCCTACCCACTGGCCTGTGAGCTTCCTGCACTCGGCATCATTGCATGTGTTGTGTGAGTCTGAAGAGGACTTTATAGACTGGTACTGGACATATGGGCTAATATTGGACTTATGGACTGGGATGTTTTCATAATATACAATTGCTCTTTGATATACAGTTCTCTCTTACACACGAGTGTCCATGAATTTGTTTCTCTGTCAACCCGGACTAACACACATGCGCATACACAAACATGTTTGTACACACACAGGTGCACACTCATCTGTGTACATAAATATACATATTCATGTGCACAAACACCCGTTCACCATCACACACACGCAAACGTGCACACACACAAACACATGCGCACACATAGATACTTCCCAAGGTATGTTCAAATCGTCATGACCTTCTAAGCATCACCTTATAAAACTCCTATAGTGGTTTCAGTTAATACCTCTACTTTATCAAGGCATTGATCTTGCCGGTTTTCTTTGCTGGTGTATTTGTAGGACCTAAAATAGTGGTAGGAATAAAGAAACTAATGTCTCGAGGACAGACGGAAGGGAGTGAGGAAACACAGAAGCCCTGTACAGAGTTCTGGTTGTGAAGCAGGAAAGAAAATGAGGGTCGGCCCTGTGGGGAGGGTGGGACGGGGTAGGACAATGAGGCCTGAGTTACTTTCGTCAGTTACAAGAGGCTCACCATGTGCAGATGCGGTGGCCAGGGGCTGGTGAGTGGTCAGGTTGCTACCCTGTTTCCCCGAAAATAAGACAGTGTCCTATATTAATTTTTGCTCCCAAGGATGCGCTAGGTCTTATTTTCAGGGGATGTCTTATTTTTCCATGAAGAATACGGTACACATTTATTGTTTATTGTTTTATTAAGAGACCTCACACTTCCTGTCTGCTCTGGCTGCGCGGCGGCCAACCGTGAGCTGGACACGATGGATGGATGGATGATGACAGCAGCTGTAGGAGTCCCAAATAAAATGATTTTTTTTTAAAAAGGGGGTTTTTAATAAAGAGCTCCTCTCACAAACAAAATCGGTGCTATCTTTGTCAACCGGCAAGGGAGAGGCGTTTAATAAGCCACCAACTCAAACAGCTTCTTCTCTCAAGTCTCTACTCAACTAACTCCGCCCCGCTGTGTCCTGATCGGGCCTGCTCCTCTGAAACCAGCCCAGAAGAGAGGCTCCATCTCTGCCCGGAAAGCCCAGGAGAAAGTTGTTCTGCGCAACTCATATTCCGCCTGCCCCAGGGGACCAGGCAACCGGCTCTCTACATATTAGCCATTTCTTATTACACTAATGCGTCCGTGAAGGCATTTTGTACCTGAGCCTTGTGGTCCCTTGTGAGGATGTGGGGGAGAGTAGGCAAGGGGCTGGTCTCACTCTGCCCGGTGTCTCTGAATGCTAGGAGAAAGTTCCCGGGGAGCAAAGTTCATTAATTTTTGAATTAATTTCTTTTTTTTCTTCTCATTAATCCATACAGGGTCTCTGGCGGCACCTGAGCCTTCCCTTGCCAAATGTGAGTGGCAGAAGAAACTGACCCCCGAGCAGTTCCACGTCACCAGAGAAAAAGGAACGGAACCGGTAAGCTGAGCTGGTCACGGGTTCAGATGAGGGGGACCTGGGATGAGGTCATCCAGCAGTCCCGGCGCCGGCTGCCTCTCTAACGGCACACCTCTGGCCTCAAGGCATCAACATCCTTCCAGAATTTTCCCTGGACACATGCCTCCTCAGACCCCATCACCTTGTCCTGGCTGGATTGCCTCCTAAGTAGCCCTGATCCCCTGGCCCGTTTCTCCCCTGCTGCCGCCGCCACGCTGTCAGGTTACCCTGGCCTCCCACTGGCCTGGCGACCTAGCTTCCTCACCCTCACGGTTCTACCCCAGCTGTCCTTGCTCCTCACCAAGCACCAGAGAGGTTTGTTTGAAAACGCAAGTCGCCCCACACCGCTCCCATTCTGAAAACCCCTCCATGGTTTCAAGCCTTTTAAAGATGGAGACCAAACGTGTGAAAGTGGCTAATGAGGTCCTCAGGGTCTGCCCCTTCCCCTACCCGCCAACCTCAAATCCTCCAGTTTTCCTCCTGGTCACCAGGTCTCGCCCCTCCTCCAGGACCCGCCTTCTCCTCCCCCGCCGGCCCTACGTAGACTGACTCCATAGCAACCTTTTCCTGCACTTGAACCCAGATCCTGCTCCCTCAGGGACGTCTTGTCCCAATCCCACGCCAGGTCTGCGTGTATCAGTCACCTCCTTTCCGTGCAGATTCCCCCGATTACCCACGAGTAATCGTTACTCGTGGGTGCCGTCCAGCTCCTCGTCACCCCATGTGTCACCGAGCGGAAGACTGCTTGGCCCTGCCTCGCCCCGACAATTGTGATGTGGGAGCCCATTGCGGCAGCCACTGTGTCAGTCCACTTTGTTGTGTGTGTGGGGGGTTCCTTTTTTTTGCTGACTCTGTGTTAGTCTGGTAGACTAGAGAAACAAATTCGTAGATACTCATATGCATATAAGAAAGAGCTTTATATACAAGAGCAGTTGAATATTTAGAAAACACCCCAGCCCCGTCCAGATCAAGTCCATAAGTCTGATATCAGCCCATATGTCTGATACCAATCTATAAAATCCTCTTCAGACTCACAAAACACATGCAATGACGCCGAATGCAGGAAGATCACACATAGGGGAGAGGCCAGCCCACCACAACTAATCGTGGGTTCGGTAGGCCCAATTGTACAGTGTTGTCTACTTACTCTGGATGGCTGATAACCCATAGGGAGAATAACCCCTGACCTACTTCTGTTGACCTACAAGTGTATAGTAATTCACCATGTGTAGCAAGCAGCTAGGTTTGGCATATATTTGGGGGAGACAACTTGGGAGAAATCTTTCTGTTTCCCACAATCACAGGCCAGTGGGTGGCAAGTCTTGTGGATCCAGTGGCGTTGTAAGCATCTCAGCACTGGCAGGGGTCTCCACTTGGCTTCTCCAGCTTCAGAGGTCTGGCTCCATCAGCCTCTCTCCATGCGTCTTCTCCACAGGGATGTCCCGCAGAGCGAGCATGTGTCCCGCCTCCAGTGAGCTATTTTTCTCCTTAGTGCCTCCAAATGAGGTCATCAAGATACTACCTGATTGACAGGCTAGACTCCACTCTGAATCCCCAAATTGACACCAGATTACGTAAGTACCACACTCCACTTTACCATGATGTCCTTCTCTAATCCCTCTTGAAAACATGTCCAAAGTTTGTGAGAAGAATCATGCCAGGAGCATTCGGGCTGTACTTCTTCCAAGACAGAGTTGCCTCTTCTCTGGGCAGTTTTACACTGCACTTCATGTCCTTTCCCCACTCACCACTCGAATGCAGCAGCTCCTCCTCAGTCTCCTTCATTTGTCGTCCAGCTTTGGAAGCATATGAAGAGATTACAACTGCCATGGCTTGAATCAAGCACACCGGGCACTCTGTGCCTACCCTCACAGTCATCCCTTTTATGGTTGTTTCTTAGCACTTTAAAGAGGTCTCTGGTATAGTCGAGGGCCCTGGTGGCACTGTGGGCTAAGCATTGCCCTGCTAGCCTGCAAGGCCAGTGCTTCACACCAACCCGCCCCTCCAGGGCAGAAAGATGAGGGTGGCTGTTCTGGTAAAGGTGCCATCTCAGAAACCGCAGAGAGCCGCTCTCTGTCTTTAAAGAGCCAGAGTTGACTGGATGACCGTAGGTGGGGTGGGTTTCTTTATGCGGTAGCAGGCACTCACCCTTTCGTAAATGTTAAACAGAGGCTGGTACGTAGAAAGGCATCCAAGCTGCACTCAGCAAGCTCAGCTTCCATTTACTCCTGGGAGAACTACCCCCGTTCTTCCACGCTGTCATACCTTTCTGTATCGAAGAGAAAGCACTGGGATTCTCACCCAGCGGTCCAGCGCAGACGCAAGCCTTCGCCCTGCTGAGCTGTGGAACCTGATGATCAGGTCTTGTTGGCCGCGAAGCAGACCCCACAGAGTGGGCCAGGGCACAGCAAACGCCACCGCGTTGGGGCTTGATCAACACCTGCAGAGCCCACGCCACTGCCTGTGTGGACGGGTCCTCCTCTCACCCTCCTCTTCCCGATGCTCAAGGGACCACAGAGACCAGCTGATTCCTGCAGGTGCTCGTGAAATACTTTGGTTCCTTACAACGTCCTGTGAGTGTGATTTTTATGGAAGCCATTCCTGGGAGGGAGGCTTCGTCAGTCAGTCTTTCGGGCAGCACAAGGGAGCCCCACTAACGGTGCGGCGTGCGCTGTTGTACGTGTTCCCAGAAGCCTCTAAGCCAGCCCGAGTTCCAAGGTCCTGAGCCAGGCCGGGTTTGCTAGCTGTTCAAAGCCTGGAGACGGGTGACCAGATGTTTGGGAGAATCACTCTGAGGCCTTCTCAAACAGATAGAGTGATACACTGCACATTTGGCCACTGTACAAAATGGGCATCCTCTACTATTCAAACGAATGTCATCAATCCCTGTAGCTGATCCCATTCCCATGCTTAACTTTCAGAATCTCGCACAACAAATAGCTTCCTTCCGTTCGCTTCATTAGATGCCGCAGAGGGGAGGAAGAAGGCACTTAGCCTTCCTTTTCAGTGACTGGGAATTAAAATCCGGTCCACCTCTTTTTATTGGACAACAGTCCTATACTAACTGTAGTAATACAATGCTAGGTACTGGGGAAACAATAAGAAATATTGACAGATTCTTACCACAAAGAGTTTACCGGCCAGCTGAGCAATCGTGAGCAGGCAGGTATCAGTAGATAGTAGGTACAACACTGGTCCTTGCTGGCCTGCCACCCAGATCCACACTGAGTGTGCCAGCCTTCCGAGCTCCGGGAACAGTCACCAGGCTCCCTGGCACTCTGGCTCGTGATTGGTTCTATGAGTGGGAAATGCCATGGAAATGAAAGGCAGGATGCAGAAGCCAGGTCAAGGGTCCAGACCCTCGCTATAGGCTGGGAGCGGCTGTGTTCCTCCACTCCAGCTGTAGTTCCTGCCAAGCAGCTTGCACCTACGGCACCACCAGGTTCTGGGAACTGCCCTCGCTGTTGCCCCATGCACAAGCCTGATAGGGACAGGAGGTCCTCCTGGTGTCGCAAATCCAGGGATACTCCTTACTCCTTTACTGGTTTCCAGTTGTAGTGTTACAGAGAGTCCTGCAGCAAGTCGTCTGTTCCCCACAGTAGTGACACTGCCAAAGAAAAGCTGCCCTTCGGTTCAGATACACTTTGAAAGCCTAAGGGATTTTACAGACATCGCCTCTCTCCAACCCCCCTGGCCCCGTCCCTTGTATGGCTCTTGTCTAGTTCAGTTACTTCGCTTCTCAATGGTTGTGGAATGGATTCTTTTTTCTTACCACCGCTCCCACCCCAACTAAATCCAGGCCTGAGTTCCTGGCCCTCTGAGGATTGTATTGCCTCCAGCGCCTCCTTTCCCTCCTCCAGTCTGCTCTGCTCATGGTGGCCAGGCGATCTTCCGAAAAGCAGCTCTGCTCCGTGTGCACCAGTGTAAGACTCCTCGTCGCACTCCACGTTCATTAGGGTAGAATTTGACTTCGTTTTGAGGGGGGAAGCTGTCACACTGAGGACCAAGCTGTGGTTTCCTTCTGGGGCCTTCCCGACAGGCAAAGGCTGCCCAGTGAGGGGGGAGACGGGGAAGAGCGACGCCCTTGAACGGTGGTGCTGGTGAAACGTACAACATACCCCCACTGCCAGCGTGTCAGTAGGACTCATGGCCACCCTGCAGGACAGGGCCGAACTGCCCCTGTGGGTTTCCAAGACGGTCGCTCTTCACCAGAGTAGACAGCCTTGTCTTCCTCCTGAAGAGCGAGCGGCTGGTGGTTGCGAAATGCCAGCCTCGACGTGAACAGCCCAGCCTGGAGTCGCTGCCCTGCCAGGGCCCCAGAGTGTAGGCCGCGCACTGGTCAAAGAGCCAACAGAGCCGTGCTAGCAGAAACCCACCTGGAATGTTTCTTACCATCAACGATGGTGAGACTTGGAACACATCATCCGGAAAGACAGTCGCTGAAAGGGGACATCTGGTTGGTAAAGTAGGGGGGATGAGGACGTCAGATGGGTTGACACAGTCCCCGCAGCAATGGGCGCATGTGCACCCACCTCATGCAGGTAGCACCCAGCCAGGCCACACTCCATTCTGCTCCACGGAAGGTCCCCAGGAACCGAGCCCAGGGTGGTCCAGCCCCTCCCTGCCCTTCCAGGCCCATCTTTCTCCATGGCCCTTGCACACGCCACCCTGCCTTCCGAGACACGTTCCCCCTTCCCTCCTCTGAGTCCCTCTTCCTCTTGCTTCAAAACCAGCTGACTGTGTTGTGGGTCCTCGAAAATCAGCATCGACCGCCACCTGGATGATTTAGAAATTAAGCATCTTAAAAGGTCAATAAAACCCAACAACAACTGAAAAACCAGAAAACACAGAACCCCAATCACAGACACTGCCTGGTGCCTAAAGCCATCGTGGAAGCACCCCAAGTCATGACGTCTGGGTCACAGCTGCTCTCACCCTGACTTGGAACCAGTTACCTAGCTCTCTGCTCACCAGGTGGCTAGAGGCCCGAGTCCAGCTACAGCATCTCGGCTCTCGAAAAAAGCCAGCCTTTGAAAGCCCTGTGACGCACAGCTCTGCACTGGCATGGGGGTGGGTGGGGGGTGGGAGTGGGGCCGCGGTGTCGGGTAGGGGGTGCAGCATGCACCAGGACCGACTGGAGGGCAAATGATGTGTTTGCTAGTCTGCCTTTGAAAGATAACCACCTGCTCACTTAACCCCTGACCAGCTCGGGGCCGCATTCTTTGCACAAGGAAACCTTGGTTTTATTTTTCACTTTTTCCCTAGCCATGGCCTGAGCACCCCACCCAGTAGGTAGCAGGTTCCAAAGTAAGTACAAGAATGAATGCCTGCGGCCGATGTTGCATTTTTCCCCGGAGAAGTAGCAAGTTGTGTCTAGAACTGGGAGCCGTCAGGCCAGGAGGCCGGGAGAGGGGCTGTTCCGTGGGTGACGTTCCATCTGAATGCTGCTCTTCCGCGTGCGGTGATCTGTTCCCGGTCACTTCCTCTGCCCGCCTGTCTCCCTGCACCGAACTCTGGCGGCGTGGCTGTGGTGCGTCGGGCCG